AGAGGAGGGAGGAGGGAAAATTGGTGGAAGAAATATCAGTAACTTAAGACGATGCAGGAGATACCATCTTACTGGGAGGAAGTAGCAATGATTTGAAACAATTTCTGATGAAAGTAAAAAGAGGAAAGTGCCAAAGCCTGACTTCATTTGATCATCAAGAAGACAAGAATCGTGAAACGACGACACTGAAATTATTAAAGATTTTGCTTATCCTGGTTCAATCATCAATCATCAATTCAAATGGTGGCTGCAACCGAGAAACGAAAAGAAGGCTGAGACCCTTCTGGGTGAGAATTAAGAAAGATCATCAAGAGCAAAGAAATGTCACTGGAGACCAGGGCTAAGATCAGTCACACCCTTGTATTCCCAATTACTATGCACAGATGAGAAAGCTGAACAGTGAAGAGGCTGATAAGAAAAAAAAAATGGATTCATTTCAGATATGGTCTTGGAGGGGAGCTCTACAGATAGTCTGGGCCACCAGAAAAACAAACCTGAAACATCGCTGGAGGGAAAAATGACAAAACTGAAGCTGTTCTTCTTTGGGCATATCATGGGAAGGCAGGGGAAATAGAAGGCAGCAGGAACAGAGGAGGACCAAATAGGAGATGGACTGACTGCATACAGGAAGCCACAGGCGCGCGCCTACAGGAGGCGCGCAGGGCTGGTGAGGACAGGACGCTGTGGACGTCCCTCGTTCCTGGGCGGCCAGGGCACATAACAACAACAATAACCTTGATACGAAACATGGACAAAAACAGTGCAAGGAAAGAAAATTATAAGCCAATATCACTTATGAACCTAGATGCTAAAATTAGAAAGCATTCACAAACTGCATGAAGCAGTGTATTAAAAATAAAAGTACATACGGCAAAACAAGGTTTATCTCAGAATCCAAGGGTAAGTCCACATTAGAAAAAATCTATCAAAATCACCCGTTATGTTACCATACTGAAGAAAAAACCTATAATCATCCCAATAGTTTTAGAAAAAAAGCACTTAATTAAATTCAGTTTTCATTTCATGGTTTTAAAATATTCCTACTTTAAACGCAACTGTGATAGAAGGGAACTACTTAATCTGAAAAAGATTTCTATAAATAATCATAAATAGTGACAACACATTAGAAACATTCTCAAAGCACTAGAAATAGGGAAACAATGCTTGTTCTCCCCATTAATATCTGATGCTCTATTGGAGGTCCCAGCCCATTCACTGGGATGAGAAAGGGGAAAAGTATCCAGAGTGTTATTTACACATAGTATGATTATCTACATGAAAATACAAGAGAATCTGCAAATAAAACTACTTCATAAGAAGGTTCAGCATGTTAGCTAAAACAAGATTACTCCAAAATCAATAAATTTCCAAACAGCAGTGATAACCAATTAAAAACTTGAAAAAACTCCAACTTACAAGAGCAGCAAAAACTGTAAGGTACCTAGGAATAAACCTAACTAAGAGGTACGAGTGTTTCATAAACAAATCATAAAATGTTATCAAAGGACATGAAGAAAGCAGAATAACATTAATGTATTGGACAACTCAATTTTATAAAGATGTCACATCTCCCAAAATTTAACCTATACATTTCACTCAGCAACATACCAAAAAAGGTTTTCAATGGAAGTTGACAAGCTGATGCTAGAGTTAGCATGGAAGAGCAGATGCTCAAAAACAGCCTGCACAATTTTAAAAATGAACAAAGGGGGGAAATGACCTTCCAGATATGAAGACTTATTATAAAGCCACAATAATTAAAACAGTGTGGTATTGGCGCAGAATTGGTTTGATCAGTGGAAAAGGGCAAAAAAGTAGGAACATGTCCATGAATATATGGAAATTTAGTTTACAGCCACAGCGGCATTACACATTAATGGGGGAATGAAAAACTGTTGGGCTAATCAGTCCAGAACAATAGTTTTCCACGTGGGGGAGAGGGGAGTAAAATTAAATTCCTACTTTACACCATAGAAAAAAAAATAAGTCCCAGATGGATCAACTTTACAAGTGGAGAAAATAAAACTTTACAATGTTAAGGGGGTGGGGCGGGGGGGGGAACATAGGAAGCTCTCTTCATGCATCAGGTATGGAGGCTTTTTGTTTTTTGTTTTTTGTTTTTAAGTAAGGCACACAAATGACATTAACTATGAAGAAATCAATGAATATGATCACATTTAAAATTTTCTATAGTACAAAAGGTATCAAAAGCAGTTAAAAGAGGAGTCATAGACTGAGACAATAGGTTTATAGGCACGAACTCCTACAAATTAAGAGGAACAAAGGTGAAAGTATTTATAGTCACTGGAAAAATGGGTGACTGCAAAAAAACAAATCACAGCCTCAGAAACCTTAATAGCCAATAAAATCCTCAACTGCACTGACAGTGAGGGAGATTCAAATAAAACAACGAAATACTGGGTCTTTAACAAATCAAATTGTCAGAAATACAGAAAATCTGAATCTAGAAACTATTGAAAGTCACGTGAGGGAAACAACTCTCATATTCTGCTGATGGGTGTGTAAATTTGAAAACCATTTGGCAGCCTCTAATAAGACTGAAAATGTATGTGCAGGCTAGCAATTCCCCATCTAGGCTCCCCAAAGAGAAATCCTCCCACATGTGCATGGAGCACATGTACACATATGTTCATTCTAGCAATGCCCATGGTACCAAAATATTGGTATCATGGTATCAGCCGCTTAAATATTCACCAATAGGGGAATGAATAAACACGGCACATTCACAGGCATGGCTTTACAATATAGCAATTAGAATGAATGAATTGGATGTGTATTTATCACCATGGAGAGAAAGAATAGAAACATGCCATGAAGAAAAAAAAAGTCACAATAGGTACAGTTTAACAACACACATGTACATTTAAAAAAATCAAAGCAACGTTCGATGTTTTTATGGGTTCATTTGTTGCAAAACCCAGGTTGTAAAGTTGCATACCAAATTCATGATAGTGTTTGCTTTTGGAGAAAAGGGTGGAGAATGGTTTTGGAGAGGAGTACAAAGGGATTTTAATTTTATCAGTAATGTTAAATAGCCAATTTTTAAAATAGACCTGAAGCAGATATGGTAAAATGTTAACATTTACCAATTTTATGAGATTAGGTAAGCGGTGCTTGTGATAGCCTCTCTGCATTTTAAAATATCTTCCCATTTTTCTAAATAATAAAATTAAAAACAGCTAGCAAAGAATTCTATCTCTGACAGACTTTTAATTTGTAGATTGAGAGTTAACTGTCTAAATTTTTGAAGCAAGCAACTTTACAATAATTCTCTGTTTTAGAATGGAATCTCTACAGAAGTAATAAAGCTGACAATATTATAAAACTACTGAAATGAATAGATTCTATAGTTATCAGTATGGATAGTTCTCAAAATCATACTGAGAGGGAAAAGTAAGTTGCAAAATGGTGTGTACACTACTGTACCATTTATAAAGAAAATTTTAAGTACATAAGCATAGATATATGTTTACATAAAAATATATAGGCAATTAGGTAATGAAAGTATAATAACAAATGCTGGAAGAGTGCACACATTATAACACTGGTTACCTAGGGAAGTGAGGAGGGAGAAAGGTGAATGGAACTGGGGAGGGGAATAAAGTGACATTCAACTCTGTCATCTTTAATATAAATAAAAACCTGAAGCAAATATGACAAATATATCACATTTGATTATTCTAGGAAGTACATATATAAAGGTATGTCATTCTGGATGTATATGTATTTTTAATTTTCAAAAGAAAAAGCACTGAAGAATTACAAACAAAATGCACATAATTCAGTATATCAGTAAAGCTTGTGTACATCAAAAACCCTGCTATGACCATTTTTAGAAATCATCCTGTTTGCTTTTCTATGTTTTCCATTTTTTAAATATCAAACGAGGGAAAAAATGAAAGCAGTAAAGAAATATACAAATATATATACCTAGAAAACCTCCACAATCCCAAAACAGCATCTGAGCAATTCTATATCACTTGCTGCATTTTCTTATTTTTAATTTTTGTCAAAAGAAAAATAAAAGATGTTGTCTAATTAGAAACGTGACTTTCTATTATTAAAATTGTGGGAGTCCATTTTAATGTGTTTATCTCGCTACTAGTCTATAATTTATATTTCAGCGTGGAAATTTGTTCGCAAGCCCGTGACAGGTTAATGCAGTTTAAGCATGCATTTTTCTTTCGTTGGTTGACTAGTTAAATCGTTATTCAAAGGATTTTAAGTTTCAATTTCAACCATGAGAGAGGAGGATTCTTTGCTTTTTCAAGGTTAAAAATGTTTCTGATTCAAAACGCTATTAATTAATGGCTACGTAGTGGATCTATTTAGGGAATTGGTACCGACCCGGGATTAACAGTGGAACTGTTAAATGAGAAAACTTTTTTTGATGCAGACTTAGGGAGATTTTAAATTTGGTCTGACAGCGGTGGACAGAAGTGAAATGCAATTCCAGCCCGCTTAACTAACGATCGTCATTATGAATCGAAAGACAGGTCAGGTATTAACATTTTTTTTTCCTTAAAAAAATAAAAAAACTTTCTCGGACTCCGCCGGACACCCAGCTGGCGGAGGACCAGCGGGCGAGGGGGGGCGAAGCCGGCAGGCTGCCCAGAAGTTACGATCGGAGAGTTTTCTCTTTATTAAAATTACCTGGCTCGCCAGCAGAGGCAAGAACGCGAAGACAAGATAATTTCTTAGGCTGTTAACAAGGACTTAGGCCGGTGGGCCGCGCGTTCCGAGGGGGTGTCCTGCGGACCGGGGCGGGTCCCGCCGCCCCCGCGGGCTCCGGTGCGTCAGGGGCGCGTCAAGCGGGGCGGGCTCCGCGCGGGCGGCGGCAGCAGCGGCGGGCGGCGGGCGGCGCGCACCGGGCCTCCTGCTTCTCGCTCCGAGGCTGCGGGACGGACGCTCCCGAGAACTCTCTCGCTCGCGGCCGGCTGCGCTCGGACCGCGCTCGCCGGCGGCCCGGCGGTGCCAGCATGTCAGCCGCCGTGGCGTGTCTGGACTACTTCGCCGCCGAGTGCTTGGTGTCCATGTCCGCGGGCGCCGTGGTTCACCGCCGCCCGCAGGACCCCGAGGGCGCGGGCGGAGCCGCAGGCTCGGAGGTGGGTGCGGCGGCGCCGCCGGAGTCCGCTCTGCCGGGTCCGGGGCCACCGGGGCCCGCGTCGGTCCCCCTGCTTTCCCAGGTCCCCGCCCCCAGCCCTGGCGCGGGCGGCGCCGCGCCCCACCTGCTGGCTGCAAGCGTCTTGGCTGACTTGCGCGGCGGCTCTGGGGAGGGCTTCGGGGAGAACTCGGGGGAAGCTCTGCGCGCCTCGTCCGGCTCCTCCGGCCCGAGCCCGTGCTCCGCGCCGACCCTGTGCTCAGAGCCGGCCCTGGCCTCCAGCGCCGCCGAAGTCTCCTGGCCCGCGCACTCGTCTGGCGCGCTCGAGGTGCCCGGCGCGCCTGCCGTCTCCGGAGCGCCTGCCGTCCCGGGTGGCGTGTCTGGCGTGGCCCCTGGCGTGGGTCACGCCCCTGCAACGGGTCCAGGCCCCCGTCGGAGGCCAGTCACGCCTGCTGCCAAGCGCCACCGCTGCCCCTTCCCGGGCTGCAACAAAGCCTATTACAAGTCGTCGCATCTGAAGTCCCACCAGCGCACCCACACGGGCGAGCGCCCTTTCTCCTGCGACTGGCTCGACTGCGACAAGAAGTTCACGCGCTCCGACGAGCTGGCCCGCCACTACAGGACGCACACGGGCGAGAAGCGCTTCTCCTGCCCCCTCTGCCCCAAGCAGTTCTCCCGGAGCGACCACTTGACCAAGCATGCCCGTCGCCACCCAGCCTATCATCCCGACATGATCGAGTACCGGGGGCGCCGCCGCACGCCCCGCGTCCACGCGCAACCCTCCAGCCTGGTGGACAGCTCCGGCTCCGTCCCCGGCCAGGCGCCCAGCCTTACCGCCAGCCTGTCTGACAGTCATTGCTGCTAGTCGTCCCCCAAGGACGATCCCCCAGGCCGTTGTCCCTGCCTTCTCTCTGCCCATCCCTCTTTCCCAATGTCGGTAGAGCAAGGCACAGACTGGTTCCTGCGCTCCGAGGGTGCGTCCAGGCAGGCTTTTTGGACGCTGGGGAGGGACTGGGGGCCCGAAACTGCAGGAATTCTTACAAAACGAAAATCGTCCTAAAAGGGGGAGGGTTGCCTCAGGACAGCCCCCAGGAACTGGTGAGAAGGGATGAACCCCAGTACTCTCCAGAGTCCTGAAGATTATCCCTTCCCTGGAAGAAGAGATGTGAAACTGGAATTCTCAGGTGCCTGAGGAGCTGCCAGTCTCAAAGGACTCTGGTGTCTTACCCACCCACCAGGGCGGACCTTGAAGAGGGTATCAGGGGTGGCAGTCTTGGAAATGTCCAGGACTGGATTGGTGAGAGGCCTTTGGAAACAGAAATGATTTCTATTTCTGTAAACAGCAATGTTTACTAATTTATTTTTAGTATCTTTTAAACAGGGATCCCAGGTTGATGGGAGGTTGAAGTTCTCCACTCCCCAATAGCCCCAGCTACCTCTGCTAGGAGAGGCCATGTAAGAGTCCATGTGGATGTATGGCTGGGAGGTGCTTCTTGGTGTCTGGGGAACGGCGCGAGTCTGCTCTGCAGGTCCTGTTGCATGGCTTGGAACCGCACTTGCGTGGTAGCCTTTCTTCCCATTTGGATTCCTACATGGGGAGGTTAACTTCTTGGCTCACTCTCACAATGAGATTGACTTAAAAATTTGGAAACAACCGTAAAAGACCAGAAATAAAGGGATGGTCCAGGCGAGTTTCCCCCTTCACCCAGAGGGTGAACCCAAGTGACTTTGGGTGAGATAGGTCCAAAACAACATTCAGGGAAATAGGGCATGTGGTTCCAGCTGCCCACTAAAAGTAATCTCAGGTGTGGTAGATTCTGTTCATGTCTTAATGGCTAACTAGGGGATTATTTCTTTTGGGATCTGTGCATTTTTGTTTCAGCAACAGGTGAGTTGGTGGTTTGAGGAGGGTAAGGTGAGAGTGGCTTCTTCCAAAGAGTTGGCTGCCCTGGGTTTGGGGAAGGAAGAGCCAGGTGAAAGCTATTATCAAATAAAAGGACCCTTCTCCCCTGCCCTTGGAGTCCCTCCAAGTTATACCCTCAGGACCCCTCTCCCCTAGTGCAGGACTTGAGCATCAACAGTATTTATTTTTTTCTATATGTATCTCCGCTGCTATGGATGAAATTGTCGGCCACTTTGCTTATGTATGTGTGAATGTGTATACGTGTGACCCTTTCATTAGAGATGGGGCCAAAAGGCATTTCCTGCTCCGGTAAGGCTCTCTTTGGCCCCTCCTGAGTATCTTGTAATAGTCTGTCAATCACGCTTGTGGAGGATGCCATAATCTCAAAGAACTATAACAGGCATCTAGTTGAACAAAATGCTTTCCGCTCTTTTGCAGATGAAGACACTGAAGCCTAGATAAGCTCAAAGTCACGTGCTAAATTGCTGGCAAAAGCCATGACTAGAACTTAGGTACCTGGCTTTCTAAGTGACTCCCCCACGCTTGATTGTCCCACCTGCTTTCTCTCTAGGTCCTTAGTCAAAGGATGCCACTTGCCCTTCCTGCCATCAGAATCCCCTCCCTATTCTCTGTCACTTCTATGTTCCTTCATATGATTGGTCCCCGCTGAATCCTTTGCCTGTTGTGTTTAATCTGAAAGCCCTTTTCTTAGCAGGTTGAGTCCATTTCCTCCTTCCACATCATGTGGACTGAAAGTGGACATGACTCTTTGGCACTTTGGGAGAGATTGATTGTATCTGTTGACCTGGTAAATTAATTTTCAATGCCAATCCTATTCTTTTCTGATTCTGGGTATTCTAGCTTCCTCAAGAGAGTGAGTGATGTGAACCTGACATTGGGCCTCTACTAAGTGCTCCTGTGCTGTGTGAGGGAAGAGTGCTTAGGAAGGGCCCAAAGGGTACAGCCTGTGTCCCTGAAAAGGTTCATTGTTTCCTGATGTGGACTAAGTAGGGTAGGTGGGTCTCTCCCTGAGTTACAGATGGGAAGAGGAGGCTGCCAGTTGTGGCGGTGGGAAGAGTCTTGCCTTTGCTTTGTCTCCTCAGCTGGAACTGGATAGGAAGGGCACTCCGGGCCCCCGTGAGGACTGTGATTTTGCCTTTCAGTAGAAGATCTACCGTTGGGTAGGTGGACCAATGAAGCTAACAGGAGAGAGACTCCCACTGACCGTTCTGGATTCGGGCTCAAAAAACTTTGGCTTTTTCAATCACCGTTTGATAAATAACTTTTCATTCTCAAGCTCCCAAGTAGTGTCCTTTTTTGGGTTTTTCTACTTTGGGGACTTTTGTCTGGGGATGGCTTCTCACAATCTAAATGCGGGATGTCTATCTACAGCCATACTGCCCTGAATGCGCCCAATCTCTTGCAAATGCGGCATGTCTTTCAGCGACTCCTCCTTGGACTTGAGGTGATGGAGAGGAAACACCCAGAAGACTAGAGTAGCCACATAATAGACGCAAGACTTGCAGGCTGGTCCTTCTTACTCTTGGGTATTGCTATTACCCTTTTTACTCCAGCAGCCAAACAGTTCTTGCAGAGCAATTATTAGCGAAGTGCCCTGGAAGGGGTTTCCTAGTTTCATTGGTGTTCCCATTGCTTCTTTTTGTTAATCAGATAGAGCTCAGTGAATGGGCGTATCTGGGGATTGGTTGGCATCAGCCTGAAACTCTGGCCCATTACCCTACCCCTGCCATCCTGAGTTCTAATGTAGTAATGATCTACTAACAAAACCTATTAATAACACTCTTCCTGATATCTGGGTTGGGAGCTGGGAATGAATTTGAGGTCATACCTAGGGTGTGGAAGAATTGGTTCCCCTACCCCTCCTGGGACAGGGTAAAAAGTATGGGCCTTTCCCCCACCCATGGAGACAAGAATCTGCCATTTGTCCTTATTTCCCATTTCTTCTCCAAGTAGGGAATGATAATGGAATATCACTCTTGACCTCTGTCTCTAGCTCTTACTCACTTCTCCCAAGGGGAGCCTGTGTTCTCTGATGGAGACATAGGAGAGAGAGTCATTGTGTGTACACACACACACACACACACACACAGCTCTCTTCTCTCTTCTGCACACCCTGCCTGTATTGTATGCATTCCATTCAGATCCAGTTTTCATATGTACCTGCTGAGGCCCAGGGCTGCCTTCCAGAGGAGGGTGTGAAGAGCACCTCTCTGTCTCCACTTTTGGAGCAGCCACGCCCCTTTGAAGCTCTCCAGGTAAGTGTTTTCTTTGTATGTTCTCCTTTGGGTGGGTCATCCCAATACCAGGAATTGGGAGGGGTGGGAGAGGTAGTGGAGGGATGGTATTAGCCCAATTTTGTCCATAGATACAGATTCATCAGTGAAATATTGTATGTTGATACTCATTTTACTGATTCCTCTACCTATTACTCAGCTGACTGAGGACTTAGAGGGGAAAGGAATGTGAGTAATTGTCTCTCTTAAGCCCCAACACATACAAATATGCATTGGCTGTTAAATCTTGAGGAAATAGGCACTCTGACTAGAATTATGAGACCAAGATAAGATGTGTGGAGATGGGACATCTGGTATACCAGGACACAGGGCTTTTGTGTGTTAGTCATCTTAAGCCTTTTAGTCCTTTGACCTTTCCAAGTGATAGCATCTTATGGTAGCTAGTGTCCATAGGCAAGTTAATATTTTTTTAGAGGTACTGGAATAGGGCTTTGCGAAAATAGGCTTCATAGGCCAGTCTTGGTTCATATAGATTTAGTTGAGACAGGCTTGCTGCAGAAGAGAAAGGTGTTTGTGAATAGGAAAATTTGTGCTTTATTCTGAGCCAGAATTGCAGACGAGGGCTTTTAAGGTGTAATGGCACAAGTTTCATGTGTATTTCAAAACATGAGTTTGGGAGACTCTAGCCCTTCTATTATGCTGGGGATGAACAGGTAGCATTAGATAATCTCACCCAGTTGGCTTCCTTTTACCCTCATTTGAATTGCATCCTTTTATAGGGCCAATAAGAGACCCATGGGAGGGGCTAAGTTCTTTAATTCACATGGGGTATATCCAGAGTCACCTGTTTATGTTCTAAGTTGGTGCCAGACATATTGACTATACGAGATGTGCCAATGGAATTTTAGGTACTCAAGCTGTGTGTTCAATTACAGAAGAATGGTAGATTTTAATCGTAAATAGAAAAGAGAAATGCAAATGTTTGTTATGTCAGGGTTTGAGGTAGAGAGAAGCAATATACTATTATAATCCCAAAAGCTAGGAAGAGTGTTGAAAAGAGTATGGATTCTTCTCTCCCTAGGAATCAGGTCTATTCAGGAAATCAAGCAGAAGGCATATTTGTTCCAAATTTATATATATATTTAGATTTTGAAGTCAAAATGGAAACAATGGCAAGGTAAAAAAAAAAAGGAAAGAAGACAGGCTAATTAAGCTAGAGGAAGAGAAGGATCTCTAGAGGAAAGGTTGTATTCTTAAAGGACAGAATTGAAAATAAAAATAGAAAAATAAAAAAGACCAGGAGCCAACCAACCTTAAAGATGAGATTATAAAAGAGGGTGGTAGTGTAGCCATTACAAAGTTAAAGGCCATGTTGAAACCCAAAGAGATAGAGCAGCAGAATGAGAGCAAGCTCTCATATGGAAAACAAATGCCCATCTTCACCAGGGACCTCAGATCCAAGGAAATACTGAGAGGTACCTACTTAAATATTCATAGAACACAATGGGAAACCATCCCTCTACCAATGAGATAGGTAAATTAGAAGGTTACAAAAAATGTAGGTGTACCTCAACATTTTACCTTAGTCTCAGTGATATAACCATTGTAAATGGGAATACAAATATGGCTTGGAGAATGTACAGAGCTATGTTTCTAAAGGAGAGCATAAGATAGATGAGACATGTGAAATATATCAGGGTAATTAAT